CCTCCCCGGGCCGACCGACGCGGTCAGAGGAGGCGCCGTCCGCCCGCCCACCACTCTTCGCAGACCGAGGCCTCCCGCGTTCCCTCCCGGATTAAGGCTGAGCGAGCGGCGTTGGTCCTGAGAGGGGTGTGGGCAGGAGGCTGCCAAGGGCGAGCGACCCGAACCCAGAGCGGTTCCAGACTCTGCTGCCTGGGGGGGGGGCGTCCCGTAGGCCTCCTCCTGGGCCGCGCTCTTCAACGTTTTCCTAAAGGACATGAATGAGCAGATACGAAGGACCCTCATTAGTTTTGCAGACCTCACAAAACTGGGCGGGGGGGGGGAATGGGGATTGCCAGCTTCTCAGAAGGCAGGCTCAGGGTTCAAAAGGATCTTGACTGACTTGATCATGGGGCCTTATCCAAATGCCAGGTTCTGTGCTTCAGATGCCCCAGGATAGGCAGTAACTGGCTCAGGAGTCATCTCTGTGAGAAGGACTTAAGCATGAGCCAGCCGTGTGCTGCAGCCGCCACAACGGCCAATGCCCTTTTGGGCTGCATCAGCACAGGCATCGCACTCTGATGGTTCTGCTCTGTGCTGCACCTGGAATCCTGCGCCCACTTTTGGTTGCCACAAGACAAGAAGAATGCGAGGAACTGCAGCAAGGGCAGAGAAGAGCCCCACTGACGCCGAGGGGCTTGGAACAAAACCCTGCGAAGGAGTAGGGATGTTTAGTCTAAAGGAGAGAACCTCTCTGGGGAAGATATGAGAACAGTCCTCTGGTTCTTGAAGGGAAAAGGGCTTGTTCTCTGTAGCGACTGAGAGTAAGGCAAGAACCAGCAGTTGGAGGCAGGATACAGGGAGGTCCAAGCTCGAAATAAAGAAGAATTTCCTGACCTAGGCAGTGGAACAGCCTGCCCCGTTTGCCTGGAGTGGTCTGAGAATTCCTGCCCTGGGGAGGGGGTGGGCTAGGTGGCCTCCAAGATCCCTTCGCACCCTGTGGGCCTCCGAAGAGAAGAGAGCCTTTACTGGAGGATGGCCTGATGTGGGCTCCTGCCTGGGGGTGGGTGTCAAAGGAGCTGCTCTGAGGCTTCTTTCAGCCCCACTCCCCTGGGCTGCAAGCGGCAGGAGGACCCCAAGCCCAGGGCTTCCCTCCCATGCCGTAGACTCAGGGCCTATGGGGAACGACTGCAGCTCTGGCCCACGTGGGTTTTGCAAACCTTGATTCAGCGCATTTCAGCCCCCGTCGTTAATCAGCGGGCTTGGGGTGATGCAGCCTGAAGCCTGCTCTGCGGGGGTGGACTTCCCCTGTCCTGGGCCAGGAATGAACCCAGTCTCCTTTTGGCAACACCGTCATAGTTCCCGAATGCTTGGAATCTCCCGCAACTGTGTCCTTCCTTCCCCAGCTGTCAGCAGAGGCTCTTGGCTCAGATGGTGCAATCCAAACAGGGGGGCGGGGGGTGGGGGGAGTTCTGCTTGTAGGCCAGGAAATGGGGAAGCCCCAGCTGGCCCCATGCAGGGAGGGGTCAGGGATGGGGCATCCTGCGCTCCATGTGCCCTGCCTGCCTGCCCGGCTTTTCCCACTCAGCCCGGCGGCCTCTGTGGCTCGGCTTTGCTGGCGCCATCGCTGCCCCCCTGCTCTCGGAGTCCGTTCCCTGTAATGCAGGCAGCATCTGGAGAGGGGGCCGGGCATTGGGCAGCATCTGGCTCCCTTGTGGGGATGGGATGGGACTGGACGGGACAGCGGGCTCTCGTGGGCGGGAGGGGAAGGAGAGTGTGAATGCACGATTTCTGTCTCACGGCAGGCCACCAAGAACCCCGCTGCAGTGGAAGGCAGCCCACGGTTTGTCTGCCTGGCGAGTGGGCGCGAGGGAGTGGCCGACCGGGAGGACATTCCAGGCAGATTGGTCACCAGTCATAACAGGCAGCGCACCATACAGGGACTGGCTCTGCCAGGTTCCCAGGCCCTGTGCAGAAGCTGC